TATTCCGTACCTATGAACACTAATGTGTATGTCCCAGTCCTCATAAACACGTTGGGCACTATTGTAAGTGGGCTAATATGCTGTCTATGTACCGCTAGCAGTTGTTTACCTACTTCACGCCACTGGCGAGTATTGTATTTTGCTGTCATTATAACGATTACCCTTTCATTTCCAATCTCAACTTTATTACATTGAATGTCGCGACAATTTCATCTCTGTTCCTCATTTGACCCGGTTAAAATTATGTTTGTGCATTTATTACAATTGATGAAATATTTTAATATACCAAATTTCAAATAATACAAGGCTCAAAAGCCGCCCAAGGTAGAAAATTATACTCGAAATATTAATAAGCAACTGAGTTTTGTGATATGAATTAAAGAGATGATAGTAGAAAGTGGAGAGTATACAATTCTCTCAAACTTCTATCGAAATTCAAGGTGCATGATAACTTCAGATTCAAAGTACAGTAGAATCCCTGACAATCGGACTAAGAAAACCTTCCGGATATAAGGAATTGGTTACTAAGTCCGGATATGCTTTAATGCTTTCGTGATAACATTAATTTATACCGCAAACAATATATATATAATGAATATAATAAAAAGTTGACTATTTTTTATCTTTCATTTATTTGGCAAAATAATTCAATATAAAAAAAACATATAGTTATATACCGTACCTATGAACACTAATAGGTATATCCCAATCTTCATAAATACGTTGTAAATGGGGGTAATATGCGCTCTAAATAGTCCACCACTAGCTATGGTTTACCTATTTACCGCCGCTGGAGAGTATTGTAAAAAGTCAAGAATAAAAAAGAGAAAAGATGAAAATTGAATGATATATATTTGAAAGAAAGAAAGTGTTATATTCCGTACCTATGAACACTAATGGATATGTCCCAGTCCTCATAAACACGTTGGACACTATTGTAACTGGGGCTAATATGCTGTCTAAGTAATGCACCATTAGCAGTGGTTTACCTATTTCACGCCGCTGGCGAGTATTGTATTTTATTGATGTTGTAAAGATTAGCATTTCATTTCCAACCTCCGTTTTGGTTATTCCTCGTTCAGTAATCTTTTCTAGGTTACAACAAAGGTTATATATTTTTTTTTATTTCTGTGTTAATAAACATTTTACTTTTTATATGTTTTGATATTGAATTATTTTTTGCAAAATAAATGAAAGATAAAAATAGTCATCTTTTATTATATTTATTAAATATATCGTTTTCGGTATAAATTAATATTACCACGAAATATTACGGGAACATGACATATTGAATGCCGGTTCGCCATGTCAGTTTAAAAAGCACTGATATATAAAATATGTCACTCTATTTTGGAAAAAGAAATAGTGACTATACCGACAGTGATACATTTATCTTCTTGCCACTGACAGTTAGTCCTTTCTTCTCGCTTTCTATCTTTTTATTACCTTGGGTTGTCAATAAGAGGATGAGCCCGAAATGTGATCTGAAGGTCGGGAACACCAGAATCAAGCAGATGTGGAAGTTTAAATATCTGGGAAGCGTCATGACACAGGACGGCAAGTGCAACGCTGAGATTCGTAGATGTATTGGAATGGCCACGGACACATTCCAAAAGCTGGGCAGAGTACTGCGAAACAGGAGGATATCTTTGGTAACAAAGAAAAGAACACTGAACTGCTACGTGAGATCTGTCCTTCTTTACGGCAGCGAATATGAACCAGAGACTCGAGGTGACAGAGATATGGTTCTACAGAAGGATGCTGAGGATATCATGGACCGATCGTGTGAGCAACGATGAGATCTTGCAAAAAAGGAGGCTTATACTTAATATCAGGAAGAGGCAGCTGAAGTTACTGGGACGCATAGTGTGGAAGGAGGGCCTGGAGAATCTGATACTCACTAGTCGAATAGAGGGAAAGAAAGACAATGGACATACCTGGAGGACTTAAGTAAGTGGATGACAGAACGTGATCTGGGGAAAGAAGCAGATTGAAGGAACTTGTTGAGAGCTGCAAGGGATAGAGGGAGGTGGAGAGCCATGACTGCCTACGTCCTGAAAGGACATGGCCCATAAAAAGAAAAGATTTCTGAACGTTTCTTTCTGTATCTGCCGTCAGGATGTTGTTGAGATTGTGCGCACTCCAAGTAGATCAGTTTTGTTTATTTTCTCTACTAGCTCATATACTGCATGGGCTGTTATTCCTTTTGCAATGATTGGTGATATTATGTAAGGTCCTGATGCTAAGTTTATTGTTGAGAGCTGTGAGATCAGTGCACTTTCAATTGATTTTCTTCATTTTCTCTCTTGTGCGTATACAATGTGTGGTTCTGTAAACTGCAGAATAAATAACAAGACCAAAATTTTACTATCATTAAAAATAGTTGTATACTTCAAATCACAAGGCAAACAAAGCCAGCGTACAACCAATCAATCAGAAATGTTTCACAACCAAGATATAAGGTCACAAGCCAATGAGAAGCAGAGCAGCATTTATAAATAATAAATCCTGGTAGGATTTCTAGTTCTTTCGGTATCACATTGAGTAAGGGTTAGATAAGGGTATAAAGATTAGATAAAGAGTACAAGGGTTAGATAAGTGTATAAGGGCTAGATAAGGGTATAAACGTTAGATAAGGGTATAAATGTTAGATAATGGTATAAGGGGTAGATAATGGTATAAGGACTAGATAAGGGTATAAAGGATAGATAATGGTATAAGGGTTAGATAAGGGTATAAAGACTAGATAAGTGTATAAGGGCTAGATAAGGGTATAAAGGTTAGATAAGTGTATATGGGTTAGATAAGGGTATAAATGTTAGTTAAAGGGTACAAGGACTAGATAAGGGTATAACGGTTTGATAATGGCATAAGAGCTAGATAAGGGTATAAAGGTTAGATAAGGCTATAAATGTAAGATTATGGCATAAGGGGTAGGGTATAAGGACTAAATAAGGGTATAAAGGTTAGATAATTGTATAAAGGTTAGATAAGGGTATAAAGGTTAGCTAATGGCAAAGTGCCAGATAAGGTATAAAAGTTAGTTAAGGGTATGAAGATTAGATAAGTGTATAAGGGTTAGATAAGAATATAAGTGTTAGATAAGTGTATTAAGCCTAGATAAAGGCATAAGTGTTAGATAAGTGTATAAAGGCTAGATGAGGGTATAAAATTTCGTTAATGGCGTAAGGTTTAGATAAATCCATCGAGAAGGTGCATCCTTGTCATACGTCTATTTCTGTTTTTCTGTGTTTGGTTATTTTTTTTTTTTGGCCTCCGTATGTAAGTTGTTTGTTCCCAGTAAATGTTCCGCGCCATTTTTCTGCTCAATGATTAAATTAATATAATAATCGTGTATAAATTGTATCGGAAAATCTTAGCCACTTTAATACTTCCTGGTTTTTAGAAAACTAAAGAATGAATTAGGTTTCGGTTTATAGAAATATTTGCACCATTCACAGAATATTTCATATATCATGTGTAAATTATATGTAAATTATATGTTAGTTATATGCACATTATAATAAGTTACGTATCACACTTACGATATCCCACATCACGATGTTGCAAAGGTTTAAGGATGTTTTTCCGATTTTCGAAGTTTACCATTATCAAGACAACAACAAAATATATTCTACTGATTTTCAACGTACCATTACAGAACATTCACAATGTTTACAAACTCAAATTATTTTAAGACTAATTTTAAAATATCGTGATTGTGAAAAGCGTCAAAATAATAAAAACAACTTTTAAAAAAATCAGTTAAAACGAAGTAAGGCAATAAAGTCACTAAAAACGCAAGGGGGTGACTGAGTGTAAAAGAATATGAGTAAAAGAAAAAAACACATTATTAATGATAGAGAACAATAAAAGAACTGACATTGCATTTAAATTTTTATAAGGTCAAAATTGATTTGAAAACAAGTCAGAAGAAAGTTCCACAAGCGAGAAGTGTAAGAGAAGAAAATCTTAGCATAGATCTTCATGTTACATCGAGCAATTTCACGTAAAATTTGTTAAATGTTTTGTCAATCTAAAATGAGACCTAGCTGCCAATCTAGTACTGCGCTTAAATTCGTAAAGTCTAGGTACCAAAGAGGAAAACTTATCAAATCAATTACCTGGAAAATATTTAATAGAAAAGACACAAACTAGCTACATTAAGGCAGTGGGAAAGTGACTGAATCCGATTTGTCAGGTCAGGACCGATAACATTGCTGATTCACTTTTGGACTTTATCAAGAATCTCTAAATACATAGCAGAAGCAGCTGACCTAATATGGCAGCAATATCCAATGTATGGACAAATGTAGACTTACAAATGTGTAAGATTGATTCTGGCGGGAAAAAATTCTCTAGCACGACACAATAAACTAATTTTCCTCATAGCAGGCCATGTAATTGGTTCAATATAAACTTTCCTCTTCATGACAGCGGAAAAAGTTAACTCTTGAAGGCACAATGAGCCTCTCCCCTAGAGGTCCATGCAGACGCAAGGCAAAATAAGGTTCACGACGGCAATTAAACGAGATCAGTTTAATTTTGGAGACGTTAGTCATTTCTTGCCCCAGTTAACAACAGATTGTAGGTAATTTCTGAGATCAGTTGCCAATTTGATCTGACTTAATATTAAGACACCAGTAAATAGTTGCTTCATCAGCAGAGATAATGAATTGAGAAATGATGACATCAGGAAAGTCGTTTGGTAAAAATTAGTAACAACGCAAATTGGCACTCGCATTAATGCGAAAACGTCGAGAACAGTAGCCGATTAAAACAGCATTCATTTCATGATTTGAGAAAAAAGATTGAACCAAATAAAAAAATGCATCAAGTATTATCATAACATTATTGTTTTTTTTAAGCATTTCACCTCAAGGAAGGCGGGTGTGCCACTAGCACCCAAATGGTTACAGGGCGTGAGAGCAACAGTAAAGAGGGGGTGTTTGAGAAAAGGATATAGAGAAGGACGGGGATCAGGATCAAGGCATCAGAAGATGTCGATTGACATTACATTTGAATATTTGAAGATTCTATCTATCTATCTATCTATCTATCTATCTATCTCAATCTGCTGCTATCTATCTATCTGTCTATCTGTCTAAAACGGGGTTCAGGATTAAGGCATCAGAAGATGTCGATTGATATTACATTTGAATATTTGAGGAATCTATCTATCTATCTATCTATGTAACTAGCTAGCTAGCAATCTTTTTTTAAGCATTTCACCCCAAGCAAGGCGAGAGTGCCACTAGCTCACAAGGGATGACAGAGAGTCGGAGCAAAAGTAAAGAGGGTTGTTTGAGGAAAGGATCAAGATCAAGACATCAGAAATATTGATTGATATTACATTTGAATATTTTAAAATTATAGCTATCAGGGAAGCAAATTATAGGAAGGTACTTACACTGTTAGGATGTGCGAGAGAAGAAGCTGTTGGAGTAGAAGAGTCGGTTACATTTAACTGTTTCGACAGTAAAAAGGTGGGACCGAGATACCAACCTAGTAGCACGCTTAAATTCATGCAATTGGGGTAGCAGAGAAAGTACCTCTCAGATGAGTTGCCATGAAAATATTCGTAGAAAAGACAGATCGAAGCCACATTACGTCTGTGAGAAAGTGACTGTAGATGAGATGCCAGATCAGGACCTATAATATTGTATATCCTTCTCTGGATTTTGTCGAAGACCTCAATATGAACAGTGGGGGTACCAAACCATATGTGGCAACAGTATTCAATGTATGGACGAATGATTGATTTGTAGATTTGAAGGATGGATTGGACGAGAAAATCCTTCTGGCCCGACACAGAGAATCAACTTTCATTTCGGTAGATGAAGCTATTGATTCAATGTAGTTGCTCCACCCCAGGTCAGTGGAAAACGTAAGATACCAAACTCTGTCAAATGCCTTCAAGATTTCCAAAGAAGGAGCCCGAGCTTCACTATTATTGTCATGGGTCCTTACCTATAACTACAGAATGAACTCTTCCTAACAGTATGTATACTACGCCTCTCAAGAGAGAGGGACGAATCGCGTCGAGCCGTTTCGGCTTGACGGTGGAACTCTCTGCCTCTGAGCAGAGAGGAACCCGGACGAGGCTCCGCCGAAAGGCAGAGTCTCGTTCGCGGAGGTTGATTAACCCGATCCCGTTCATACGGGTTCTACGGGCATTTTTTTGCCGAGCTTACGGGCTCAGGAAACCCACGTTAAACTCGGCCTTGTGCCACATGCAACCCTCGTGGCGGGTGGCTAGAGACCAAATCGAGTCGAGCCGATAGTAGTTCACTCCAAAGCAGACTGGCAGTCATACTAACACCTTCCACATCTTGTATTATTATTTCGTGTAATATACCTTCGTTATTTCTACTCTTGTGTTCGTGATGTTTTTCCTTCGTCCTAACCTGGACCATAACAATTATTACGTAAAGCTTGACAAACTCGTTGAGGAATAACTGTTGACACCTCTGTGGTTTATCTAGAGAAGTGATAGTTATAATGTTTGTCTCTAAGAAACGTCTTCTTTGCTTCTTGCTTAACCAACTAGGAATTGATTAGAGCCTCTAGTACATTGGCAAAAAGAGGTAGGTCCCGTCGGCTGGGGCTTCAGAACACGCCGATAGCACCTCTGCACTGAAGTAAGATCCCCCCCCACCACCACAAATATATGAAACGTCCTTGGTATGATGACTATAGCCGGCAGAAAGTCCTCCGAACAGGAGGTTTTGAGGAGCGTGGAACCACCTCTCAATTGCCAATCCACCCTGACTTTTGGAAAAAAGTATTGCCAGCTATATATTTTTGAAAAAAATACCAGCAATACTCTAGACAAAAACCCTCTGTACCAAAATACGTCGATGAAAGTTGATCTACAAACAGATTTTTTACACATATATTCATACTGTTAGAGTTTTGGTTTAAGCTAGTGAGCCAGCCAAAATGTGCTGACTCATTTTATATTTCACCAATAGAAGTGTTAACTAATCAGAAGGCTCAAAATATTAAATGCGACGTCTATAAAGGCGGCCATATTTTTTTCCCGAATATTCACATTGATATCGAAGACTGAAGAATTATGGAACAGCTGCTGGTGGTATTGGCGATATAGTCAGATTCAGTAGAGTGTCTGACTCGTGAGTGTTAATCTTTAACGTTGTTTCATTGATCAGATTACGTACTGCGCTGTATTCTATATTCATAGACTATGGTGAAGATGGCCAACTCATACGAATCTATCCTAAAAATCTTGTCGGCATTAAATAACCCATGGAGGCTGATATGCCGTAAACCAAACCAAACCAAACTGACTATCATCATTTAAAACATCATCAAAAACAAGTAGAAGGCTAATAGGCCGATGCAATGACCAGAAGTTTTATCTATATGCTGTGACTCTTCAGGACGTTGATGATCATGGTCCTTCACTATTTCCTGCTCTTTGTAGTTCTTAATATGTTATGTCTTTTTGTTATCTCTCGTAAACTCTGTTCCGCCACCCAAGCTGGTTCCTTTTCCTCTGTCTCTCGTGTCTTCAGTCTGTCCTGTGACTATCAAACTTTCCACTTTCATCGTTATGCACCCAAGAAATTTCCACAGACGCAACGATTCAAACCTCTCGCTAATCTATCAGCATGGAAATTGTTCAGGTGAACTATATGCCTTATTTCCTACATTTTCGCCTACCATTTGCTTGTATGAGTTTGTAACTTGGAGACGGGCGTTTACAAGTAATCAAATCTTCGAACGTCTTTTTTTTTCAACTCGTCATTCATTCGTGCCAATTGAACACTGCAGCGCTATGCAGTAACAAGATTGTAACATTTAACAAGATTGCTTTTTGTACACCAGGTAAGTCAGAGAGCAATTATCGGTGTGTAAATTCCGGTTAGATCGAGATGCTAAAATCTGTCCTGCATCAAGGGTGGATTTTGTCATCATCATCATCACCATCATCAGTCCTTTAACTGGGTGTGAATGTAGAACTGCTGAAAAGCGGACCACCTAACCATTTCCTTCCACATATCGGGGTTCAAATCCGTGGAGGTCTTATCCCTGCGTAACGTGTCTTACAAAACGGACCTAACGCAACCGATATCTCTTAAAGTTAAATTATGGACGATGCCTTACAACTTGAAGCCTCGATCTGATCATGGAGACTAGAATATTGTCTTTATATGTTGAACAATGTCAACTTCATTTTAAAAAGGAAGCGATATAAATGAGCACATTTCCGATAGTCGTAATAAACCTTCTTTTTTTATTATTAATATCATTGCTAACCAAAAGTGTTAATTACCGAGAAAGATTTTTTCGTACTTTCTGTGAGTTTCACTTTCAACAGCTGAAAAGTTCTTAGGTCTTCGATAACGTATATTTTTAACTACAAAACCTTGTCACATGCAGATTGTTCTGACTGTATATCCCATAAGTGGCCTTAAATCATTGTGTAAAGTCGACTGTACTTTTTACTACATAAAACATACTGAAGTGTTAACATACTTACACTCGGAATGTTGCGGCACTATGATCCGGGCACGCACATAGAATAGGATTTTTTTTATTAATCTATCTCATTCTTAACTCTTTGTTGTTTTCATACCACCGATAATATCCGTGAAATGAGATTTTAAGAGCGGTCTTCCACTATAGCAGAAAAGAATAATAGATAAATGAAAAATTTTGAGAGAAAGTGACTGCAGACCCAACGTTGAAGTTTTCCGTTGGCGGTTCTGTATTAATGATCATTGTTGATATAGTGAAGAGCATGGGTTGGCAACATTTTGCTAAGCATACGCATTCTTATACATATTAAGGTCAATATACCTGTTCTACAACATATTCTATATAGTAATATATAGTATATATACTTTAGTATATATTAAAATTAAAACAATAATTCTTCCTCCCCATATATGGGCTAAATAGTAGTACGGACCTGACACTTTAGCTTGGGCTGGCGAAGGATGACAACTCTGTTGGAAAATTCATGCTGTGGAACTTACAGATCATCCTCAGGGGTCAGCAACCTTTTCATAACTCTATGCCAACTTGGGGTCTTAAAACCATTCAGTGGGCCAGTCAAGATCAATATACCTGCTCTACAATATATTTTATATGGTAATATATATAGTAATGTGTAAACAAATTTAACAGAAATAAACTGTTTTTAAAAGTTCTTTTTTTAAGCTTTTTTTAGATTTTTTTTTTTTATTAATGAGAGTCCGACGGGTGAGCAATTTTAAAACAGCTAAATATCTTCTTTGTGTTGTTGTACTTATTGGTTCGGACTTCGTGATGTCATTTGCGGTTGCATGACATTGGAAATTTGGCGGTCTACGTCGCTTGCTGTTCCCTGGGCTATAAGATTACGAGGAATAATGAAATTTATTAGTGTATGTAGGAAAGACAAGGGTTAACCCTAGACTTGAAGACGTTTTTATACAAATCAAGGTCAATATACCTGTTATGCAATATATTATATATAGTAATATATAGTATATATATACTTTAGTATATATTAAAATTAAAACAAATAAATATCTTCTTTGTATTGTACTAGTTATTGGTTCAGACTTCATATCATTTGTGGCTGCGTGTCATTGGAAATTGCTTGGTGTACCACGTGTGGCACAGGGGCAATAGGTTGCCGAACCCTGATACATTATTCATACTGTTCAGAGCATTGTCCTCATCTTTATTGCCATATTCATGATGTTTTAACCATTGTACACTCCGGACTTCTTCAGGTGATTGAAATTTACTAAGATTTATTGGGAAGGGGTCGGCAACCTTTTGCTAACTCTATGTCGACTTAGGGTTTTATAATCATTCAGTGTGCCAACAGCATACGTATTTTTATACAAGTCAAGATCGATATACCTGTTCTACAATGTATTCTATATAGTAATATACAGTATATATACTTTCAGTTTTTGTACGTACAGACGCAAATATAATAGAGACACCATGTGGGGTTTCATTGTCGAGTCAGTGAATATCTGAGAGATGGCCGCATTGTAAGATTACAACTGCTGTTATTTTTGTTGTTGTTGTTATCACAAAGTAACGGCTGTTATTCTCCCCGGCGTTCATCAGTTACTTGTAAATAAGTGTAACCCAGTGACCTTCAGGTAAGTTCAAACAGAACACTTTATTCAAGCTACAGGGACATATTGTTCTCTTGTCCACATCAAGGGATAACTGTTCTGGTTCTTAAGCATAACGAGAAAAGATACCTTTCCTTATTTATTTCTGCCCAGTTTCTACTGGGTCTAAGTTTGCACTACTCCGTCAAGGGATTGAATTCACAATTACTAATTCGCCAAATCCCCTAACCAACGCTTTAATCTATTAATCTATTCTTCCTAGACATCCTTAAACTTGGATAACTGAATAAGAACAATCTGTCAAATGAGATTAAATACAGAATTTAATTCAAAATTCATTAAACGTTATTCAGTTTGATAGATAAATGACGATCATCAGTTTGGTTTGTTTTACGGCACATCAACATCAATGGGTTATTTAATGCCGATAAGATTTTTATTGCTGGGAATATTTCTTATCTATCTATCTTAGTCTATTTAAATCTATCTATATGTTTCAGTATGTATTGGTTTGGTTTGGTTTGTTTTACGGCATATCAACCTCAATTGTTATTTAATGCCGACAAGATTTTTATTGCGGGTAATATTTTTTATCTATCTATCTATCTATCTATCTATCTATCTATCTATCTATCTATCTATCTATCTATCTATCTCAGTCTGTTCATATCTGTCTCTCTGTCTCTGTCTGTCTGTCTCTCTGTCTCTGTCTCTCTCTGTCTCCCCCTCTCTCTCTCGCTCGCACTCTCTCTCTCTCTCTCTCTCTCTCTCTCTCTCTCTATATATATATATAAGTTTGTTTATATCTATCTATCTATCTATCTATCTATCTATCTATCTATCTATCTATCTATCTATCTATCTATCTATTGGTTTGGTTTGTTTTACCGCCCATCAAACTCAACGGGTTATTTAATGACGACAAGATTTTATTGCTGGTAATATTTTCCCCCAAAAGTATTGCTGCTAATTTTATTTTCTCAAAAAATATTGCTGGTAATAATTTTTTCTTCAAAAATTAATTGCTGGTAATAATTTTTTTGCAAAAATTTATAGCTGGTATTAAAACCTATTTTTACACATTTATAGTGTTTTGACAGCCGTTTGGGGGTTAACTATTTGCCTATAACTGGGGCCCTAACAGGTGCTACCACACCGAGTCAGCGTGGACCTGGGAACAGCAGCAATTAAGAGGTGGTTCCACGCTCCTCAAAAATATCCTGATCAGATGCCTTGCTGTTGGACGTAGTTTATTGTCTTACCCAGGATGCGGATGCCGTCATACAGAGGACGGGATAGAAGTCAAGGTGCGCAGTGGCCGAAACGTTGTCATAAAAAAGACAATGATCATGACAATAGTATAATTAAGATAAATATAATAATAAGTATAAATAATATAAAAAATATTATTATATTATATTATTATAAATAATATAAAAATCAGCATAATAACATATTAAGTAAAATAATATAAAATAGCATAATAATGTAATATTAAGCATATATAATATGAACTAGTATAATAATATAATATAGTAATAAGTATAAAAAAATATAAAATAATATTATAATATAAGTATAAACGATACAAAATAGTATATTGATAAGTATGACTAATATAAAATAGTATGTTATAATAAGTATAAATAATATACAAAGTGTATAGTAATATAATATAATATTAAGTACAAATACAAAATAGTTTAATAATATAATATAATCATAAGTATAATATAAAATAGTATAATAGTGTAAATTAATTGTATGTATGAATAATATAAAATAGTATAATAATATAATATAATATTAAGTAGAATAACATAAAATAGCATAATAATATATTATATATATAATATAAAATAGTATAATATTATATGATAATGATAAGTATAAATAATATAAAATAGTATAATAATATAATATAATAATAAGTATAAATGATACAAAATAGTATAATGATAAGTATGACTAGTATAAAATAGTGTAATAATATAATATAATTTTAAGTATAAATAATATAAAAATAGTATAATAATATAATAATAAGTATCAATAATATACAAAGTGTATAATAATATAATATAATATTAAGTATAAATAATACAAAATAGTATAATAATATAAGTACAAATAATATAAAATATTATAATAATATAATATAATAATAGGTATAAATAATATAAAAATAATATAAAATATAATATAGTATTAAGTATAAATAGTATAATAATATAATATAAGTTTAAATAATATAAATAATAAAATTCGATGGACATGTAATTATTTTCAGCCACGGTTTGAACCCCAAATAAAGATAAATCAAATTTCTGAAAATCATTCTTCATCAATACATCAGAAAAAAAAATATACAGTTCAAAGACATCTAATATTTTTTTTCCTGATATATACGAAAAAAGGTGTTATTTTTGCATCTTCCTTATATCTTCAGTGCCAGATTTTTCTCACGTGAAAGAGCAAGACCACCTGCCACTTTATCCCGGAAGATATAAATGACATCGTGGGTTTGACTAAGAGTGGTACCATACTCGTCACGCTTAGCCTGTGGGATGGAGAGAATAGATTTTTGATTCTTAGTAAAGTCAATAATTTGAGTCACACGTTTTAAAATTTACTACTGACTTAAGAGAGAGAGAAAGAGAGAGAGGGGGGAGAGAGAGAGTTATTTCCGTGACATTGCTTTCGCTCAGTACTTCAAAACGCAAATCTCGTACAGTCACTGATCGACGCTTGTCTATATAAGAGAGGGGAGGGAATATAACGGTTCACAGCGCCGGAAAAGGGATTCGACCTGACGGCTCCATTTCTGTTTTCGTTCAGTTCATACTATTACCCTTGGAAGAGCATGAATTATGCATCAGGAAAATGCCTTAAAAAACTAATTTCCGAAACATTCTCATGAAGCTTCAATGAAAGAGAAAGATGTTAAATTTCTAAACGTTTCATTTTTCTTCCTTATTCCAGAGTTCTCTCAAATTTCATCTATATTTGATCCCGGCACATATATGACAAGTGCGGATATCTCTGACGAGTGGACGGTGTAATTCCTGATTTTGGTGTGGGGGGGGGTCATGTCGAAAAACATTTAGACTCGGGATGTAAAGTAGCATTAATCCGCCAAGTTACATATATATATATATATATATATATATATATATATATATATATATATATATATATATATATAAAAGTGAACATAGAAGTCAACACTTAGAGGCGACAGTCTGTTTCATGCTATAATGCAATCGTCAGGCCACATATGCTGTTATTTTTCTCGGCTATTTATATATATACGGGTTAGTGGTGCATTGTGGGTATTCTATTATGGCGGTTATTTTTACCGGAAGTCGCTTTTGTTTATTTATTTGGGCCAAATTATATTGCTCGTTTTTATTTTTTGTTTCTTATTTTATTTATTTATTTATTAATGTCGTAAAAATTTGTTTATATCACTTATTTAACAGTTTTGTTTTGGTTTGAGAATTTAATTAAAGTTATTTGTTCAATTTTGGGGTAGTGTTGACTTCTATGTTCTCTTTTAAATTTACACACGCTCTATCTCTGATATTGAGCACTTTATCCACAAAATATAGCACACCTTAAGACTATATTTATTTATTATATATATATATATATATATATATATATATATATATATATATATATATATATATATATATATATATATATATATATATATGTATATATAATATATATATGTATATATATATATATATATATATATATATATATATATATATATATATATATATATATATGTGTGTGTGTGTATTGATATAATACGAAAGAACTGTTAGATTGATGATCCGAGGTTCTTTAGTACTTTTCATTTTATTTTTAAAACACAGTGCTACATACAGAAGTAGTGTCTAGATTAAAATTATTTTTTAAGTATAATTAATTTTTTTTAAAAATATAATTAATTAATTTTTTAAAAGTAATTTTATTTTTAAAAAATAATTAAAAAGAATAATGAAAAAAAATTAAAATAATAATTGTATTTTTAAAATAATTAAATTTAATTTTTAATTTTTAAAATATAATTATTTTTTATTTTGTTAAATTATAATTAATACAAATTGGGTATATATATATATATATATAATATACAAATTGTATATATATAATGCAAATTGAATGTGTATATATATATGCATGTATGTATATGTATATATATAATTAATCCATGTATGTATATATGTATATATATATAATTAATGCAAATTACACGTGTGACGTCGTCCTCCGGTCGCAGCGCCAACTGTGACGTTCTATCCTGATCTACCACGGCGCCAGTTCTGACGTGGCCGTTCCAGGGTCCTATCCCGGTCACGACACCTGTTGTGACGTCCCTAAACAGCACCAATGTGACGTCTTCGCCGCGGCGCCAGCTGTTCGCTCCTCGCTGCTCCGTCCGGGTGTCGCTGCTCCAAACGTGACGTCCGCCTGTCGCGTCAGTCGTGTTGTCTCGTCCTGTGACGACCAACTGGCTTGGTATCGGTCGCGGCACCCAAATGTGACGTTCTAACCTTTTGGTGATTCGGTGGGAATCTGGTTAGATTTGATATCAGCCTCGCCGTTCCCAACTCGCTTCCAACGCCTGGTTACCAAGGTAACTGCACTGATCTCCAGTCTGCCTACCCACGTTGTGAATTGATCTTAGACAGAAGAGACCAAACAGTGGTTGGGGCCGTAATGCAAATTGAGTTCAACGGGGGTGATAACACACAAATATGCATAAAAGAAAATAAAATGAAAACTCAAAAAGTTCCAAGTATCAAAGAAAAAGGTAACAAACTTTATGTCTAGTTGTTCGATACATAGGACTGCATCTATCTCCCGACCCGTTCTGTGGATTGTGACACGTCGTTTTCGCTAGGCAAGTTTTAACGCTTCAAGTTGTTGCTCTCTAAGAAATTTGTTTCGGTGTGTCTTTGGACGAAAGTCGAAAAAACTTATTTCGGTGGTCTGGTTCTAAGTCGCTCTTCAAAATAATTGTTCTTGGTTGAAGAGGAGTCCGAAATTTTGCGTGAATCTTGGTCAGCTATCTTGATCTATCATCTCTGCCGCCAGGGCCCGAACTGATTTCTGTCTGTTGGGGCTGGTTTTTATTGACGCCGACAAAAACCGGGTTGGGTCTGTTGGCGTCGGGGAGTTCCTCGATAATTCTAAATACATATCCACCTCTTTTATTTCTGGTTAGGATTTTCCACTCTTTTCCATTTTTGGTAATTTTTTTCACTCCCACTTTCTCACCATACTTCTGAGGGGCGTGAACTGCCTCCCCACTTAACAGCTTCTCTTACTTATACTCTGAATGGGGCGTCGACAGCCTTCTTCGTGCGTCACGTGATCACTCTCGGCCAATGAGGTCTTGGTCGGTTATCTTTCCTCCTCCTTCGTGCGTCACGTGATCACCACTTGACCAATGACGTCTTAGTCGGGCGTGAACAATCCGCGGTTTTGTTTCGGAAAAAAATACCTTGCTTAACTAAAAAAAATTAATTATCTCTTCTCTTTCCTTTTTCTTCCTTGACAACTCTTTGTTCAACACGTGGCATTTGTCAGGTAGTTTATCGCTAATTCATCAGATGGTTGGTTTTCTTAACATGGCCTCAAAAAGAAGTATCCCAAAGTTTTCAGTCAGTCTGACGTCTCCAAGGAAGAATGAAAAACACCCCTGGGTCCCCACCCATTTCCTTCAGCACATATTCTGATAACATAAATTTTATTATCGCAGGGCAGAAGTTGTTCCGTCGTGAAGAACCCAGTCAGCGAGACTGCCTGTGTGGGACTTTAATTTTCCATATCTAACTAAGGCTCTGTGTTTTGT